AGGCTGACAAACTCCTATACATTTAAAAAACTTTATTCATATATGATGATACCAAAAAGACACTGAAGCGGTGTTGACCTTGTCCTCATTAAAACATTTTTGGGACAGATTTTTTTGTCAAACGAAAATTTCATTTTGAATTCAAGTACTAGTATATCATGCATTTTTTCGTGGCCTTTAAATGCTATTAATCTTCATCCTGTTTTCTAACGATCATTCAATCTTTCCATGCAAATCCTCCTGCTAAGTCTATGGAGTGTCAATTATTGGCAAATGTGATTCAGTTTTTGATCGAAAGTGCAATACATTCCTACACCAAGTAATTTGACATAGGTAGTTTTGAACATTTCAAACTCGGGAAGTTAACTGCAATTAAGTCAGGATGACATTTTTTTATGTAGACGGATGCAAATACTTTCTTACTCGCATTCAAAACCAATTTTTATAATTTTAGTCATAAAGTATCGAGACCCTAACTTCGAAAGATAAAATTAATCATGATGTGAAATGCAGGCTTTAATATAAAATAAGGAGATGTGGTATGATTTTCAATTAGACAACTAACAACCAGAGACCAAATGACGTAGATGTAAGCAACTGTTACAATGGATCACCATACAACCTTCAACAATTAGCAAAATACATGCCGCATACCAACATGACAAAATGTAAAACTTCTCGTTTGAAACCAACGCTCTAGTTTATGTACAGAACAACAAACGAAAACAAATATGATATACGGCAACAAACGACAACCACCGAAGACTTTATTTGGGCAAACAAAATAAATGACGAATATAGAATAATGGGCTAAATTACGGAGAATGTTGCCGAGCATCGGGAAGAACAAAAAAATGCACAAAGAATTCAAGAATACAGCGAAGACCTTCATTTAGACCCGCAAATTTGTTTATAATATTAGCATATATACATAACCTGGGAACAGTATATCTAACAATGTCAATATATATGTTCCTGACCTAACGTAGATTGCTGTATAAACAACAATTAGGTCGGCAACAACACAAGAGTCTCATAAAAGCCTGAATCGCTCACCATGCAAAAATATTGTAATTTAATACTTATTTTTACCTTTTTCAAAAACCAAAAATGTACTTCTCTGAAACAAATTGCATGTACTAATTTTCAAATAAACTGCTTTTCGAGAGCAACCAAGTAAACTCAAGGTGGGGTGTCAATATGAGAATCTCAATAATTACTTACAAAATAAATTAATAATAATTTTTGTTCCTCCAAGCACTAAGCAATAAAATTGAGAATGGAAATATGGGAATATGTCAAAGAGACAACAACCCGACCAAAGAGCAGACAACAGCCGAAGGCCACCAATGGGTCTTCCATGCAGCGAGAAAATCCAGCACCCCATACCCCCATGCATGAATTTATTACTCAAATGATGGTACGCCACCCAGTAGTGATAACAACATAAAAGACCAATAAAAAAATGAGGGGGGGGGGGGGGGGGTAATAATTGATAATTGTCATACAAGGGGCAATAACTCCTATATCAATCAGCATTATTGTGGATTTTGTATTGCTGCTCATTTTTATATTGACAGTTTCTGTTTATTTATATCAGTTTCAAGATAATATTTGAAAATAATATGATAAACATTTGGTTAAATACAAGCCATTACTTAGTTTAAGACTATCTACATATATATAGTTTTACTACAATTATATAAGGTGAACCAACACCTAGAGTGGTGATTGTGCAGTAGGAAAATAAACGAGTGGATACCTATAGCTAAAAGTAAGAAATTGTTAAAATAAAAGACAACAACACTTGTAATTAGGGCAAAGTGTTGACATGTTTGCTATCCTCCTAAAGACGCCACACTTGATGGCAAAACATGTTGACCAATAAAACAATTACTTTGCAGTCAATTTACGAGTGTTGTTGTCTTAATGTCTATTATATATATATATATATATATATATAGTTTAGTATAAAACTGGTTTAGTACCAAACATTTCTAACTTATTACATACAAACAATTTATTGGTCTTTGAAGTCAACTTTAATATAAAGAATAAGACAATATACATGTAAATATAGATAATTTTAGTAACATATAAATATCCAAAATCAATAAGTGGCACATGAGCGACTGCAAACCAGAACAAAGATCTGAACTCTGCCCTTTAAGTCATTGCCATAGATCCTATAGAAAAAGTAAACAGTTTTGTCACAAAGAATACAAATATTATTTGATCAAAAGAAGTATGTATGACCAATCTCCCCTGTATTTGTATCACTCGTGTGGTCAAATTCAGAAAATAGTCTTTGAACAGTATTACATAAAACCATGTTATATTGTGCATAAACAGATATAAAAAAAAATTGATACATATTTTAAAAATTTCAGTTTTTTATCATTTTTATTTACTTATGTTCTTTTTGAGGGGACAACCTTACAACTTTAAATTATTGTGTAGCTCAATGTCCATACTCAGCTTTAATTCTGATAAAATTTATTTTTTTGTTCTTTTTATTTTAAAAACACAGTCAGCAGGGCATCAAATTAGTGTGAGTCAAAGGTCTGGGATCAGTCTTTTCTGGCAGGGGACTTTTCATCTTTTAATCACAATTTAAAGACCTCCCATTCTTTACAGAAGTGCTTTATACAGGAACTTTGAAGACATTTTACTTGAAAATTCAAACCGTCCTGGACCATTCATTATTTAAAGCAAATTTGACAAAAAATGTTGAACTGGCATTTAAAAACCATCTTCGGGCATTCATAATTTGGTCAATTGATCACAAAACAATTTTTGTTTGAACAATTTAGTTTTTTCTTTTGGCTGCCCTACATATAAATGTACATACAATTAAAACAGAAGAACATAATCATTATTCATATTGTGATTAAAATGATTTAATATAAAAAAATAAATAAAATGCTTGTTTTTTGCCCCTTTTTGGCCCCTAATTCCTAAAATTTTAAGGCAATTACCCCAAAAATCAATCCCAGCCTTCCCTTTGAGGTATGGTACCTTGCAGTACAATTTCAGAGAGAGATCCATACACTTGAACACAAGTTATTGTCTGGAAACTAGAAAAATGCTTATTTTTGGCCTCTTTTTGGCCCCTTATTCCTAAACGTTTTGGGCAATTACCCCCAAACTCAATTCCAGCTTTCCCTTTGTGATATGGAAGCTTGTAGTACAATTTCAGAAAGATCCATACACGTACACACAAGTTATTGTCATGAAACTAGAAAAATGCTTGTTTTTTGCCCCTTTTTTGGCCCCTAATTCCTAAAATTTTGAGGCAATTACCCCCAAAATCAATCCCAGCATTCCCTTTGTGATATGGAACCTTGTGGTACAATGTCAGAGAGATCCATACACCAACACACAAGTTATGTCTGGAAGTTACAAAAATGCTTATTTTTTGCCCCTTTTTGGCCCCTAATTCCTTAACTGTTGGTACCATAACCCCCAAAATCAATCCCAACCTTCCTTTTGTGGTATTGAACCTTATGGTAAAATTTCATAGAGACCCATTCACTTAAACTAAAGTTAGAGTGCGAAAACCAATGTATCTTCGGACGACGACGCCGAAGTCATACCAATATACGCGTCGTATAAAAAGATGTGCTATGATCAGCAATGAGACAACCCTCCACCAAAAACCAAAGGACCAGGATGTAAACATCTATAGGTTTGCTGAATGGCCTTCAACAATGAATAAAATTCATATCATTTTGTAGTTATCTACTGAAGGCAGGGAGATGACCAAATGTGAAACAATTCAAAAATGAAAAGGAAACAGGAATATGTGCACTGCTTGCACAATCACATTTCCATAATCAGAGAACCGCAAAATATACGTCAAACCCCTAATCTGGCATGGAAATTAAACAGTTCGCTCCATAATGAACATGTGTACCAAGATTCATTTAAATGTGACCACAAACTACCTAAACCAATATTTTAACCTGATATGCACTTTTACATTTCCATGTTCAGTGATCCACAAAATCTGGGTGAAAACCCTTATTTGGCATATATATTAAACAATTCACTTCATAATGAACATGTGTACTAGGTTTCATGTTAATGTGATCACAACCTACCTTATACAATAACTTTAATCTACCTTCAACCAAAACTTTAACCTGATACAAGACTGATGGGAGAAATAACAAATAGATATAATGACAACATTGAGTAAGGCCCATACCCTATAGTATGCTATAAAAGGTAAAAGCTAAATTTTCACTTATAAATTAACACAGGTTTTGCCAGACTAAAATATCATTCAGTATACCTCTAAAATATTTAGTATAAGCCGTCATATAGCAGTCTTAGAAAAGCATAACCTTGTGCAATGCCAAAATATAAGTATCAACAGGTGTTTGGACCTTAAGTGAGGGTAGTAAAAGGTTATTTTCATGCAACGTGTTTTTCCATTTTTATTTCACGTGCAGCCGTGAAAAAGGTTCGTTATTCACTGTGTTTCGTGAAATCGATAAAAAGATCAACATGCAAGAACTTTTTAATTGTTCGTTCATCGTGAACTGGCAATTTTATTTCATGTTCTTCCGTGCAGATACCCCCCTTTACACCCCTCTTAAGTGTTAATAACAGGATAGCAACACATGTTATGTATCAAACTAATGTGGATTCATTTACTTTCGTAGATACTAATTTTCGTGGATTGTGGAAAACTTGTATTTTCGTGGATATTTGATTTTGTGGTTATGTTATGTTACTTTGTCGAACAACAAACTTTGTGAGTTACCTTTTTCGACGATATCCATGAAAATTGGTGTCCCATGAATAATAATGAATCCACAGTATTCAAAATAAAATCAGTTTTAGTAGTGCAAAAGACGTTCTTAACAAAGTTCAAATATCTAACTACCCTGTTACATGGATTACCTTTTAGAAAACATTTATTCAAAGGACCAATTAGTGTACATGGATCTTAGGGTAGTTTACTATCTCTATTAGCAAAGTCATCGTAAACATTTCTACATGTACAGGCAAACTATTTATTTCTTATATAAGCTAAAACTAAAATATATTTACTTAATTTAGCATTCTCCGTAATAAATTCTGAAAATCTTCTATTCATTGAAATATTTGAAGTATAAATTCACATTAAAATATCAGATAAAATGATCACATTTCAACAAAATTTGTACAATAACACAATGAATGACACAAACTGAATGAAAGTGAATTACAAATCTTTATGAATTCTTTTTAGTATCCTCAGTGTTCTCTAAAACTAGTTGTCCTGTCAGTTTTTACCACCAAAAATTTGGAAGGTCCACCAATTTGAGTGTAGTTGTCATGATGTGTAGCTAAAAATTAATGGTAACTTTATACATTTTTTAGGTTGTCTGATATCTAAGTATAGACCCTGATTACAATGTATATCAATTTTTGATATGGAACCATGTTGTTATTGTGCAAATTGGCGTAATCTTATTTATCCCTACATTTATGGAAATACAAAATTTACTTCACAGCAAAAATTTTCTTTATATACAGGACCACCAAATTTTCACTTGGACTACCAGATTTTGTAGTCTTGGTGGTCCTCATGACCCTTAGGCTAAAAAAAAAGGGATTTGGAGAACTCTGTAGCACTTCAATGATAATCATGAAAGCAAACTTAAAATAAAAGAAGACCAGCTTTAAGCAGCAATATAACAAAATAAATTTACAAAATTAAACAATAAACAACAATGTTTTGATCTATATAATACCTGACAAATTAGTGTTTGATCTCATCCGAATTTAACATTTTCAAGCGCTGACCTTTCATCTTTTTATAAATACATATTATCACAAATTTTCAATAGAAAAAGACCACAATTTGAAATAAAATTCCTAAATAGAACTTTTATATACATATAAACATAATATAAGTTGGAAGCAAAATCTGAATATTGACAATCATAAAAAAAAAAACATTTCAACATTGCAAAATATTCAGAATCGTGAGTATAAGAAAGGAAGAAGGATTTTAGTATTTAGAATTTACGTGAAAAAACAAGAAACAGCAGTCATCATTTTGAGCTGTTAACACATAAAAATCAAATATCTGATTGATGTTCTTCTGAAACTCCAATCAATGACACGAAATCACAACACCAATATGCAAAAATCAATTTCTTTTACTGCTGTTCATCATCCCAAAATCATTGTGAGGCCTTCAACATGGGTAAAAATTCTAACCTCACTCCAAGTTCGAAAAGGCCTTTAAAATTTCAGATTCTCACTTATACGTCTTGTAATGCAATGCAGATTAAGTCTAAAAACAAGTCAGTTTTGGTGTGAGCCAATGCTCCGTGTTGAAGGCCGTACCTTGACCTATAATGGTTTACTTTTATATTGTTACTTGGATGGAGAGTTGTCTCATTGGCACTCATACCACATCTTCTTATATCTATTTAGTGATTCTGTCTATCCTATTTTTTATGCTTCCAAATACCTAAGCATAACATTTTAATTGGCAATTTTGAAAGTTAATTTTTGACAAAATGGCATTACGTTTTTATAAATTCAAGGTAGAAAAATTTAGCAAAATAACAAAAAAACGACCAACCTCATAATTTTTCTATATAAGGAAACCCATAACACACATGTCTTCAGTTGGTCTGAAGAGCAAGTAAAACAATGTAATATGTTAATATCCATAGCATTAAAACTTTAAAATTTAATATAATCATGATAATAATATGATACAACTCAACATTTGACTTATTTGAGGTATTATAGCACAAGTTTGATATTCACTCTTTTAACACAAAATACTGATATTTCTCCTTTTTTCTCTTCTTCATTCTTCGGAGATCTTATCCCATCTGCCACTAAAAAAGAAAAAGAAAATGTAGTCATGGCAAGAATATGTCTCCATCTTACACCCTCCCCTGCTTACAATATCAAATTTACCGTGTTTATTTTTCTTTTTTTAATAAAATTTAAACATATATTCTCGATTAACCAAATTAAAATTGCTACATGAAGGAAATTGTTACAAGTAAAATCTGCTTGCTGTATATATATATAGGTATATTATATGGCCTTCGAAATACCGTTTCGATTCCTAACATCACTGAAGACACATTAATTGTCGAAATCCGGATATGGAGTACAAATTTTTGCACCTCATGTTTGCGGTATACCATCTTTTCCGCAAGTTTATTGTTTTCTGTTTGGTATTAAATTAAGTGTTTAAGAACATCCATTGTTCGACCTGCTAGTCAAATGCGTTTTGTTAAAATATACTTTTTTACTTTGTTTTGGTCTTTTGGAAAATGTTGTTTGTGCTGTATTAAGACCCCTCTACCAAGAAATTTGTTTTGCATGCACACGTATAAAAATTGCGGTTTTTATCCAACACAATCATAGGTTTGAACGTTGTTTTCAATTTAGACTTGTATATAAATATATATATAAATGACTGAATAATATCCAACGATAAATCTTACAGGGCGATGGATCATATAATTATGATACAGTACACTACAAAATATAATATATAACAAGTCTAAAAGGGTACAACATCACCAAAAAATAATTAAATCATGAACAAATTTTAGATATTTCGGATAACTAATATCCTTCATCAGTAAGATGTAAAATGAATCTTATCTTGACATGTGGTGGTCAAACTGAATTCTAATATGACCTGCTTCTTTCGCTTTGTAAACAACACCGTGATAAAATTCTCGATATATCTATACTTAGCGCAGACTCAGAGATATACATAATAACGGATGTTACAATATACCTCCCACGTAAATCCACATGTATTGGAACCTATTTGCAAACGCCTTGCCAATTGTATTGTTTTAAAAATTGCATTTAAAAAAAGACAAACAAACTTTTATTCTTATTCGGATGCATAATAAAAAGAATTAATGCACAAGAGCTCGGAAAAAAAAACAAAATCAAAATAAAATTAAATTCCGCGAAAGTCTTTTAATTATTTTGGCGCATTTTAGTCATTTCAAAACATGACGTCATACAAATGAAAACGCTAGAGTTGAAGGTTTTCCGTAGCGTGGACCATCGAAATTCTTTTAATATTGTAATAAAATGGATTTTTGAGGTAGGTTTTGTTTTATTTTCTATTCTATTGCATTATTTGCATATTTACTGATTTCAGCAAGTCAACATGGCGGCTCCTTAGTTACGAAATGTCAACTTTGGATTTGACGGTAGCTGACGAAAAAAACATGTAAATTAAAAATGGCAAATGTTGGGTTTGAGAATTAAAAGAACTATTAAACAGATTTTCTAGCAGTTATTTATGAAATATTCCATGCAAACTACATATTTATTAGGATGTTTGAGCTTTATTTAACAAGGAGTAAAAAAGAACAGCCACACACACGGCATACCCACCTTCGCTTCAGTTTTTAAAAGACTGTATCTGTCCTATTAGAATCGAAATAATTCATGGAAGCCATAAATTTGTTGTAAATTTACACATGGCCTGGGCCGTGATATTCGTTAATTTTATCCCTCGCTAACGCTCAGGATAAAATTCGAATATCACGGCCCAGGCCATGTGTAAATTTCCAACAAATCTATGGCTTCCGTGAATTATTTCTTAAATAAAATCTTGAATGCTATACAAATTATCAATAATCAATACGCTGGTAATTTTTTTTCAATATTGATGTTTGGGCATGTTGGGAGGAGGAATAAATTTCTTAAAACTGTAAGAGTCCAAAACGGAAGCCTGAGTTACTGGAAACAAGTGATGGTAGGGAAAATGAGTGACACATTCTATGTTTTTTCATTTATTCCCTCTAGGGAAACTGTCCTAAGCTTTCTTATCCAAAACCTTTCCCGAGCAAGTCTGTCAGCCCTTGACCAACCCTTGTTGTGGTCTATGATAGTGATGGTAAGGTTTTTGAGATCAGCTTGGGCATGCCCAGGTGATCTCAAATGACGACTTACTGAGAGGTCAGGCTCGCAGGTGTAGTCACTTCGATGACCATTCATGTGTTTGTTGAATGGCTGTTCTGTCTCGTCAACATACTGCATGCCACATCGACACTGAAGAAGGTATACAACATTCTGGGTTTTGCAAGTTACATTGCAAAATATAGTGTACAAAGACCCAGTGGAGTGGCAAGTAAATGTTTGAGTATTCAGTATTTGTTGGCAAGTCAGACATCGTCTGTTACTACATGACTTGCACCATCCTGCAGTTGAATAGCTTTTATTAGAGGAGACATCAGCTCTCACAAATAAGTCTTTCAGAAAAGCTAAGACAGGAGGTTTGGGAAAGATCTTGGATAATTTAGGGTGCTTGGCAATAGTTTGCCAATATCCATGCCAATTGGCAAACTATTGCCAAGCCTGGTTAGATTGGAGTCCAGTGCACCGTATGGGGTTCGAACTCACAACCTCAGTGTTGACAGGCTTAATTGTGATACAGTAGTTGAAATACATTGTACTAAGACAACTTGGCCACCAAGGCCACAAGAGTGAAAATAGTTTTGCAAGTTTTATCAGACCTGTTTGAAAGGAATCTTTTAGATACTGGTGTATAGCCAAGGTTTAAGGAATTTACAGCTAAAAGATTACTACAGCTGAACATAAACTGATAGGTATTTTAATCTCAGCTAATACCTTTAGTCCTCCTTCTCCTTGAGGCTGTAAATCAGCTTTCCTTTCAGCTTCTTCTCGTTTTTGTTGTTTTCTCTTCACATTTTCAGGATCTTTAAGTCCTCTTCCTTCGTTAGCTTTCTGTCTTTGCTCTGCTGCTGCTGCTTGCTGTCGTCTCTTTGTTTCCTAAAGGTAAATACTATGTATACAGAATACAGTGTAAATTCAGACATTTTTGCAGATTTTCATTTTTGCGAAAATTGTGAACAGGATATTTTCACAAAAGTAAAATTCTCAAAATTCTCATTTTAAAATCTTTATAATTTTAGTTGTATACAGCATCTTAAGACTAAATCTCACATTTTTGTTATAACATCTTATGTATGCCTTTACTAACTTTTAGTAGAAAAAAAAACCATGTGTGAAGTACACAGAAATCAGTATAGTCATTGAACCAACATAGGGTCCATCTAGGGCATGATCACTTATATCACAGTACATCAATTTTTACATACTAGGAAACATAAAGAGAGATAAACTAAAACATCCATTTTAATTTAATTTCAACAACAAAAAATTACATTTATAATGTCATATCAAAATAACACTTCAAAAATGTTGTGCCTCCATAGAGCACTTTACTGGATTTATATACCTTCACAAGGACCAATCAAACCAATACATTTGAAAGCCCAATGGCCATGATGTGTAAATATCTGAATATATGTCCAAAAGGGACATAAAAAGAATATCCGATTTCATCATAGGTCAACTTTGCCTGAGGGAGTAGATATCTAAACTGTAAATTCAGAAATTTTTGTGAGGTTTTTAATGATGTGATATAATGCGACTGGGTGAGTATTGCAATAATAAGAACTTGCATTATGATATCTGATATGTATGCAGACCATTCTTACATTGCAATAATTAATCTCGTACTTTTGTCTATTCTCCAAAAATCGCAATAATAAATTCACGCAATAGTTTCTGAATTTACAGTATTGACAGTAGTTTCGAAGTAATTTCCTCAAATATATCTTAAGCAAAACTTGGATTATCTCCCTTTGATCAATAAGTAGTTACTCCATCTAAGATGCACCAAGCCAGTTCACAGTGATAACAGTCCACAGGGTAACATGTAACTGTATCCAGACACATTATTCTGACTCCTACATGTCCTATTTGATCAGTCTTTGCTCTTACCAATTCTTACTCCTCAATGCTGCATGCTTAGCGGATAGAGCTCTAGCAAATACCAATTTTCAAGTCCTTGGTTTGTTTGTATTTTGGTCAAGTATCAAAACCACAACCTCCTGTGCTGAAGCAGGAAATTTTTACATGGGCTTACATATAATTTCATGCTCTACTTGAACACTGTTTCCAAATGTAATGAGTCTATATTGCAAAATGGACAACCTAATTTATTGTAAAATAGAATGGTATAATTTGACAGGATTGCTTCCCTTGAGTAGTAGATACTTAGCCAGCTGCGTTTGGTTGAGCTAGGGAAGTGCATCTATAGCTTAGGTTGTTAAAACGTGACTTGAAACACTGAGGTTTGGGGTTCAAATTCCCAAGGAGACAATATGATTTTCAAAAGAGAAGCATGCTCTCAGTGGCCAGTTACTAGTGATCTGGGAACAAATTATCCACCTTTGATTTTACATAGTCCCTAGTGTGGACAGTGTATAACTTGCAAATCTTTTTCGTACATCTTCCAAATCTATTTCTTTATATTTGATTCATACAATAGGAAGTAGGGGGATGCAATTACATGTAAAATATTTGGGGCATGAACTTTTAGGCAATGTAGTGATTTTGTCCAGTTCATAAGGTAAAAAATTAGTATGTCTGTAAGGAGATGTCAAACTGAATAATAGACCCCCTTAACATAAAAATGTCCATATTTTGAGTCAGAGCTGATAGACTTTTCTATAATTTTTATATAATTTTCTCAAAAGTAGTATACTTAACACTGTACATGCTGTAAAAATCTTATTGGGATAGAGCAGGTGCATTAATATAGTCTAAAAGAAATGCACTACAAGATAACTGTGTTCTGGGGCCAGGTATATGGGACAGACTGACCTTTGTGAGATATATCTCCCCTTAATACTATAATTGTAATGACAAGAACTGTTCCATAGAAATAATCATTTTTTTAAGTTTCTGTGTCTAGAGAGATTTTCAGAAATGGCTGCGGTCAGAAAATCGCTCTGGACACTGAATCAAAAAAGGGATTACCTCAGACACTGTGGTCTAGGACATTGTTATATCATCTGATGAAGATTGAAAAAGGTATGGAATGGCAAAGACATGTATAGACAATTATACAATATATATGTGTCTTCTGTTGACATCATATTTGCTGAACTTTTAACAGGTTGGGACCAAACCCCCTATATCGTGATAATACCTGCATAGAGAGATTACCCTTCTATAGAGGGACAAAATTACAATGTATCCCTCTGTATAGAGAGATATTTTTGTTTAGACTGGATTTAAAGCAGAAAAATGGCAAAAGTGCATTTTGTACTTATATTGGCTATAATCTATAGCATTATATGTATCAATTATTGCACTTTACTACAAATTGGGATGCTTAGTGTTCTACCATGTCTACTAAAGTGACAGAACTTGCAATCTATTGTGTTCCTATCTGAACACCTGAGCAACAACAATAGGGACAGTTGACATTTAAACTTGATGTTAAATTTAACAATACTGTAAACAGGGAAATTTTCGCGGCAGTATTATTTTCGCGGTAAGAGTTGAAACGCGAAAATAAAATGACCGCGAATATTTCAAGGAAATCCGAACACGAATATGAAGACCATACAAGAACATATGTCAATAGGATATGTAGATGGCTAATTTAAAACATCGGTTTTACAGACGACAGATCTATACCTCAAAACATAATTTTATTTCTAAAGGAAAGTCAGTGTTAGATATCAAAACTTTATCTCATGATAGTCCTAATTAATCCAAGTGGACATTACGCATAGTGCTAACTAAACAACTATCGTTACAGTTATGTTTTAAAATGATTACCCATTTCGGTTGCACTCTGCTTCACAGATCAATCAGATTAAAATATTAACTAATAAGCAGAAATTCTGTCAGCATTTAATTCACTCTTAGTTAGGTCATTCCTCTTTGTTTATTGTGATTGTGCTTTTTACAAGCAAACATGACTAATAGTTTTAAATGTGAACCGAAAAAAAGGAATGCTGATTGCTTTTATCACTTGATTTACATACATTTATTAACACTCTACAGTTTCCAAATCATTTAAGAAAAAAACTTATATAGGACACCTACCGGAACATCGCGAATTCAAAACGGCACGAATCTAGATTTTGTTGGTAAATCGCGAAAAAAAGACGGCGCGAAAATTTTCCGGTTTACAGTAGAATGAGTGGAATTTACCTGATCATCACAGCTTTCAATTATGTTGAACATTAGATTGTTTATTCAGTCAGTTTAGCAGTAAATTAAGTACATCAAATATTGGTGCATCCAATGTTGCAGGTTACTGCCATGATATCAAAGATTTGTATAGTGATACTATACAAATCCTTGATGATATTAATAAGTAGAAAATATGCATTTGCCATGTTCTGCTTTAAATACAGTCTAAACAAATATATTCCTCTATAGACATGATAAAGGGATAATTTTATCCCTATATAGAAGGGTAATCACTCTATGCAGGTATTATCATCATAAGGAGTTTGTTCCCAACATGGTCATGCTGTTTAAATTAAGGGATTCTTTTGAATCAGATGTGAAATGTAAATGATGTAGTCTTTTGAACTCTTATGTAGATATTTATGAGTTTCCAGGAAATAAGCTAACGATTTTTAGTTAAATATAAGTATAAAGATACAATTGTTTATAAAACCAGGAAATAATAATACAACGAAACAAGAACCTGATGAGCTGAACATGCTGAAAGTGAAAGTCCTTTTCAGCTTATGAAGATATGGCAATAAAATCTAAGGTTGTCATTATTGAGAAACATATTTACTGGTGATGGCTGGTCATAATCATCAGATTGACCTCCAAGACAGGGCAAACAAATTCCCATATTTAGGAAACCTAGACAAAAACTCCAATATCCTATGTTAGGTTGTCTGCATTTTCTACCCAGATGAAAGTTTACTTCAGAATATTCCTTGCATGGTAATTTTTAGGTATGACTAAAAACCAACCACAAAGTTTAAAAATACAAAGCGTAACAACATTTCGAAGTTGAACTTCAAGCGGGGCTATGATCGACTATAGGATTAAACATTCAACGGATGAAACAGTACTTCGGTACTAGCATGTACATTTGGTACTGGCTATGATTACGTTGAAAACGTAACAATAAGGAAAATAATTGTTACGTTTTAAACTAATTGACGGAATGCATTGTCGGGTTGGGAACTGATTAAATACGACGTAACAATAATATGTTTGTATACTGTTACATTGCGTTATTGTTACGTTATTGCAATTCGATCTACGTAATATATATTAAAATACAACTCAAAAATACTTTTATTCTAAATCAATTCAATAATACAATATTGCATACATTGTATATATATTTATGATATTTAGCTTTTAAACTTCAATTTAATTTTTTACCACTATTACCAAACGGGAAATACATCATTATTGGATTCACACGACGATTTGTAGATCACTCTTTTAGTATATATAAATATTACACCGCTAGTAACAGCAATGGACAAATTATTGAAGACTTACTTAAAAGGCCCGAGGCATTCTTTAAATTTTATTTTGTTATTATGACAATGGTTGTTTGAGAAACGGATTTCTAAAGAAAATAACAAGAAGAGTTTAGCAGCAAATCAATTGAGAAAAAAATGACGCATATTCAAATTATGTGTGCAGGTCAGATTCCGTGACCAGTTTAATGAAATATGATTAATACTTACATTGTTAAGGAAAAAATGCCCATCTTATTTAAAACCTAGCGCCTGTCTTCTGTGTAGAATGTTGAAGTGTTAGATCGGGAACCTCTAATTGGCAAATTTATGTATAGGCACGTGCCTAGTCGAGCCTTAGGTAGCTACGCCACTGTCAGAAATCGATACATCAAATTAACTGATACCAAATGAACGTCCTTCCAGAAATAACAGCGAAAAAGCCTTCAGAATACCATCATGCAAAACAGCAGTTCGGAAGGAGTCGTTCTATCCTAGAACAATCAGAGAGTGGAACACCTTGCCCAACTGTAAGGTCTCTTCCCCGAGTCCTGAATCTTTCAAGGCTCAGCTCCGTAAGTAAATTAAATAATATGTTTTATTTGCACCTGTATATAAATGTCTCCCAGTTTTTAGCTCACCTGGCCCAAAGGGCCAAGTGAGCTTTTCTCATCACTTGGCGTCCGTCGTCCGTCGTCGTTAACTTTTACAAAAATCTTCTCCTCTGAAACTACTTGGCCAAATTAAACCAAACTTGGCCACAATCATCATTGGGGTATCTAGTTTAAAAAATGTGTCCGGTGATCCGGCGAACCAACCAAGATGGCCGCCATGGCTAAAAATAGAACATAGGGGTAAAATGTAGATTTTGGCTTATATCTCTGAAACCAAAGCATTTAGAGCAAATCTGACTTGGAGTAAAATTGTTTATCAGGTCAAGATCTATCTGCCCTGAAATTTTCAGATGAATCTGACAACCCGTTGTTGGATTGCTGCCCCTGAATTGGTAATTTTAAGGAAATTTTGCCGTTTTTGGTTATTATCTTGAATATTATTATAGATAGAGATAAACTGTAAACAACAATAATGTTCAGCAAAGTAAGATCTACAATTAAGTCAACTTGACCAAAATTTTCAGTTGATCCCTTAAGGAGTTATTGCCTTTTATAGTAAATTTTTAACCATTTTTCGTAAATTTTTGTAATCTTTTACAAAAATCTTTTCCTCTGAAACTACTAAGACAAATTTAACCCAACTTGTCCACAATCATCATTAGGGTATATAGTTTAAAAAATGTGTCCGATGACCCCACCCGCGAACCAAGATGGCCGACATGGCTAAAAATAGAACATAGGGGTAAAATGTTGATTTTGGCTTATATCTCTGAAACCAAAGCATTTAGAGTAAATCTGACAGAGGGTAAAACTGATTATCAGGTCAAGATCTATCTGCCCTGAAATTTTCAGAACAATCAGGCAACACCTTGTTGGGTTGCTGCCCCTGAATTGGTAATTTTAAGAAAATTTTGCAGCTTTTGGTTATTATCTTGAATATTATTATAGATAGAGATAAACTGTAAACAGCAATAATGTACAGCAAAGTAAGATCTACAAATAAGTCAACATGACCAAAATTGTCAATTGACCACTTAAGGAGTTATTGCCCTTTATAGTCAATTTTTTACAATTTTTTCATAAATTTTGTAAATTTTTGTAAATTTTACAAAATATTTTCCACTGTAACTACTGGGCCAAGTTCATTATAGATAGAGATAATTGTAAGCAGCAAGAATGTTCAGTAAAGTAAGATCTACAAACACATCACCATCACCAAAACACAATTTTGTCATGAATCCATCTTTGTCCTTTGTTTAATATGCACATATACCAAGGTGAGCGACACAGGCTCTTTAGAGCCTCTAGTTGTTTGTTTTTAAATTTTAAATTGTTTTCATGCGCGCACTCCGAAAATGTGGCAGGATAGTCAACCAGTTGACGATGGCCGCTTACTGGGAGAAGAAGAAGAACCATCTTATAGATTTATACAGATACATCAAGGGTGTTATGAACTATGATATAAAATTCCAAATTCTGTATTTCTTTCAGAACAAAATTACAGCTAATTTTCTAATCCGTTGAAAGTATTTACGATATGTTTCTATGCATTATAATATTATAATTATAACTATGTGCACTTTTGTTCTTCACGATGCGTTGTTATTTTAAAATGTTTTTGGTGTATCTTGTTATTTTTCATAAGGTTCTGTGAAGGGACAATCTGTTATTATTCACTTATCCAAACTTGTGTGAAAACATTTTTTACGACTTGTAACACCATGAACACACACGTATCACATATTTTGAAGGCATGTTGATGAATTTTAAAACCACAGACCATGCAGACAAAGGTAATATTTTTGAATATTTTGTCAAAAATAATAAAAGTTAAATCAAACAATTTTACAAAAAATCTTCACTTTACCGCAATATCATTTGTTTATGTGGAAACCAGTGAAACGTGAAGAAAATCGGATCAAATTTTGTAAATAGTAGACATATTTTTGGGATTAATACACGAGGATGAGTGAGTATATTTTTTTTTCAATTGAATTGATACATAGTTTAGAAGTGTGTTCTTTGTGGCGTTAGTATTCATGAATTAGGCTGTCGGGTACAAAAAGTTTTCAGAAGGAAGAATTTCTTCATGAACAAGGAAACATTTTTGTGCCATCTTACAAAAAATAAAGATTTACATGCCATGTGTGCGTACAAGAAGGATAATATACTGATAAAAAATTACCCATAATAGTTTATGTCTATAAAAGAGAGGCTAAATAAACCAATTTGCAATTATTCATTTGTTCTTGCAATCCTCTGGAAATAATTTGTGGTACGGATTTGCAAAGGATTATTCAAACTCATAAATCGAAAACAAACTGACAGTGACAAATTATGCCATGCATATGGCAAAACATGATAAAAAAACATAACAGTACTCAAAAGTGAAGTGACATAACACAACATAGAAAACTAAATACTGAGCAACAAGAACCCCACCATAAACATGGTAGGTCTTTTCAACACCCCAAAAATTATTTTTTTTATCTCTTATTGTTATAAATGTGACCTAAATATAATATTTAAGTTATTAGTTCAACAAATAATAAGGTTAAGAGAACAAATATCTACATTGAACAGAAAAAGAGATTCTATAACACTACAACTCTGCAAACCACCACTGGACACCTCAAATAATTTCGTTTTCTTCATTTTTTTCTTCTTTCTGAAGTTTCATAAAATAGTTGTACCAATAATAAGAAAAGAGACATGAACAAATGTTAAATATTTCGGATAACTAATATCCTTCATCAGTTATTGATGTCAAATGATTCTTATACACACACAATGTAATCTAGAAAAATAGTGATGAATCCAGAGACGTTTTTCTTTATATTGATTATATTGATAATCGACTTTAACAGAAAAATGATGCATATAAACATCTAAAAATGTGTTAAACTAGACGTAATTTAATTGATTTTACTGTTTTATTGTATAAAATTAAATCACTGATTTTCTTAGTGCTTGATGTTTTTTTTTGGTGTTCGGTGGTGTTTGGTGGTGAAAAGACCCACCCCCATAAACATGGGATGATCGATCTCAAACTGCTATATAGATATTATAAGATCACTGCTTTAATCATGTTAATACATACATGTATATGCACTATAGACTTTTTTATCTTGCTTAAGCAACATAGAAATGTACATGTAATCATAATAATCAACAGGTTGGGGAATGATGAAAAGTCAAATCGGCACCTGGTCAATTCAGCACCTATAGAAAAAGTCAAAACGGCACCAATTTAAAGTCATTTCGGCATTTGGTTAGTCAATTTGGTACCAAATATTTTTTTTATCTTTTTTTCTTTTATTCTGCTGTTTGAAGTTTTCTCTATATTATATTAATTAATGATAATTAAGTTTGATTGGGTATCATTTAAAAAAAAAATGGTATTAATTATAAACAATAACCCACTTGTTGTTTCAACTATTTTCGGGTAGTTTTTGATGTTTTATAAATAAAATAACTTGGATTAAACAGAGAAGTTATTACACCACCCAAGCTATTGTTTAATCCACATACATGACATATGAGGATAAAAACAAATTTAATCATTATTATTTAAATTGTTTTTTCTGCATTTCCTGTCTACTTATATCTTCTTCTTCTTCTTCAGTTATACAACAAAACTTCAGGATACTGAAGATTACTTGTTGTTGCACATGCGTGTTAAAATTTAATTTTCTTGAAAATGCCAAAAAAAAAATATATACAAATTCGACAATTTGTGCATGTATATAACAAAAACTAGTGATTAAAATAAAAATTATATACAAAAACTTATTGTCTTGATTTAAATCAGTTGGCAGAGAACACCTTGTGTAAGGTGTGCTCTGAAACTGTCAACTGTGGCTATAGGTAGCATGTTCCATTGTATGATGGTGTGTGGGAAAAATGACCACTTATATGTTTCCTTTGTGGTTCGTATATGTCTATAAGTATTTGGATGGTTTTGTCTTGTTCTACTGTCTGTTGGTATTAAAATTTCAGATGGTATGGCAATGAGGCCATGAATTACTTTGTAAAATATAATAAGACATGTTTTAAGGCGGCATTCAGCTAATGTCGGTAGTTTTAAATTATTCATCATATTTGTAACGCTACTGATGTTATGGTAGTTGTTACAAATGTACCTAGTTGCTCTTCTTTGAACTATTTCTATTTTTTTGGTAGCATCTTTTGTGTGAGGGTCCCATAAACTGCAGCTGTATTCTAATTTAGGTCTGACTATTGCTTGATATGCTCTTGATTTAATGTCTGTGTTTGATATTTTTAAATTTCTTTTAAGGAATCCTAAAGATTTATTGCCGTTTGAGATAATGTTGTCATAATGTAGGTTCCATTTAAGATTTGATTGTAGAGTAACGCCCAGATATTTAGCAGATGTAACAGATTCAAGAATGTGACTATGAATAATGTTATCATGTAAATATGGTTTCTTTTTATGTGAAATTGAAAGTTAAGTGCATTTATCAGGGTGGAAAGCCATAAGCCAATCTGCTTCCCACTTTGCTGCAGCGTTTAGATCTTCTTGTAATTTATCACAGTCTGATTGAGATTTGATTTCTCTATATATGATGCTGTCATCAGCAAAGAGTCTTAATTTGCTATGTGTTAAATATTCAGAGAAGTCATTAATGTAAATGAGAAACAATATGGGGCCCAGTACAGTACCCTGTGGGACTCCAGATGTAACTGGCACTGATGTAGAACATATATAAAATGAATAATACTGGCACCAATTTTGTATGTTACTAGCAATGTACAGTTGTCATGAAAAGGAAGTTCCTTGATAATTTAAGTTCCAGTAGGAACAGAATGAGATATTACGACATTTTTTATAACAAAGTTTCCATTGGAACTTCTGTTATGCGTAACAAATATACGTTGACACCTGGAGCTAAAAATGTAAATATCTTAAAAAAAATATATATGTAAAAAAACGTAGTCTTCAATAGTTTACTTTGCAAAACATAATACTAGTAATGGACGCCGAAATAACTACCTTGGATGCCGAATTAACCAGGTCCTGATTGACTAGGTGCCGAATTGACTATACCGGGTGCTGATTTGACCAGGTGCCTATTTAACCAGGTGCTGAATTGACTAGAATTCCAAAAAGGGGTCATGCAAAATAACCCATTTGGGATATTATAGCACAAATGGAATTTTAATTTTCATTGCAAAAAAATCTTAATTTTTTAATTTAAGCAAAAATTTTGAAAAGTGCATTTGTTACTGTCAATAGTAGCAACTTATGGTTAGTGACTTTTCCAGAATAAAAATTAAGTTGCTACATGTAAATTGATTCCTCAAGCTCTGAAGAGCATCTTCCAAGGGATAATCAAACTACATTGTTGTTTTGTACTATAAAATGTTGTTGTTCTCTCCAGGCAATCTGGCTTCTTTTACCAATAAAAACTGACAGTCACGAAATAGTCGATAATGCTGAAAGTGGCATTAAACACCAATCAATTTATTTGGTTTATTTTTAAGCATAATAAATTTACACAGCAGTATACATTATACAATGCCCTTTATTAAAACAAAAAAATTAATCATGTCAATTGATGATTTAATAATTATAAATGAATCTCATTATCTTTGGATTGATATTCAATGACTTCCTAAGTTCCTATTGATCTATGTTGACAATTATATTAGATAATAGTGATCATATTTCACTGAAGGTAAGTCAATATACTTATATTAGAAGAAACATGCATGAAAAATAAAATAGCATGAAGATTATACAATGTATATTCCTTTATTGTATCAAACCTACAGCCATGACCATGATGAAAGTAGTTACTTAAATGTATTATACATGTACTGCATGTAAGAAATGGAGCAATATATAAAAAATCTCCCTAACTTTACAGAATTTTGCAAGTATATCATGAACATTATACAATGTACATTATTCTTTGTACATGCATATTGGCATGAGGTAAATTTTATTGAAACAGGATGAATGATGAAATGATTCAATTTTTTAATTTTTCCATAAATTTGTATTATTCGTTTTATTTCTAACAGTCATAACAGTTAAAAAAAAAAAAATATAATACTTACTTCAGCCTACATATACAAAATGTATGATTTTCTTCCAAGATATAAAAAATCCCTTGAATTGTCATGAATGTCTTATGTTAAATTTAAATAAAATTTAAGATGCCTGTTTCATATCTTTTTTAGTGACAACAAACATTTAAAATGGTTTGAATAATGCTTCGACACAGCAAATATAAACAGAGTAAAAGGTAAGGAACTGTATTCATAATGTTATCATTTTTTTTATATTTTGTCAGAATTTTATTGTACATGTATTGAGGTGACTGTTTAATGTCCAGTGGAAAATTAAATGAGAGGAGAATATGATGATATGAAAATAAAACCTTCTTTGTTCTCAACCGACACACTGAGCCAAATTTTAAACTTGCTACTGTAAATTCAGAAATTATTGCGATGTTTTTATTATTGCGAAAAATGCGACAGGGTAATAATCGCAATAATTTAAACTCGCATTTTTTAATTTTTTGTATGAATTATACAGGATTTTTCTCAATATCGCAAAAATTAAAATCGCATTTTAGTCTAAAATGACAAAATCGCAAAAATAAATGCACGCAATAATTTCTGAATTTACAGTATTTGACAAGGTCACAGTCTGCAGGAAGACATGTCACCCTACCTGGACACATTATATATACTGAGCTGACCAGAGTATTTGACCTTACTCCTAAAAGCCTAGTGGAGAAGCAGCAAATACTAATTTTCAAGTCTGGTTTGACCCACGACCTCTCGCACTAGTGACAAGCACAAGACCACCGATGTGGTATTTAGAAAGAACAATGTATTTTATATATTTTATATATCCCGAATCTGCCTTATAGTCTTGTGTTGTCTGTGATGAAACTTGCAGAAGAGTGATACAGTAAACCATTAGTGTGCAGTGTTACCAAGGTAAAGGTTGGACAGTATCACTAGGAAAGCCATATGGTTATAGTGCCCGATTAATGGCAAGAACGCCAGATTATGGTTAATAAATAACCATAATTCGTAATTATAGATGTTTGACACAGAAATAGACGTCCTCCTCTGACTTTAGACGTTTGCTGTATTTTTAGACTTTCGTCCGGCGTTTTAGATGTTTGCCGTAATCCCTCTCATACTCTTAGATAACGATGTCCCTTTAATAACTCGCGCGAACGACGTGTGTATTATTTAACATTAGCTATAGTATTTTTAAAAGTGTTCAGTTAATACACATGATTTATCGTGTCGACGGGAATTAGCTGTTTGTCCGATAAAACTGATGTGTATTGAGTCGTCAATAGAACCAGTGAAGCGTGAGCGACGGTTATAAATACATCGTTAAAATGTAGAACAGATATATATAATCAATGCAAATCAGAATCTGTTAAAATTAACCATCTTATTTACGATGTATTTGAAAATATAGTTACCTGTAAATGAAGACAGAAACAGATAGTATAGAACTATGGAGTAGACTGAGACTTATAATATAAAATGTCGCTGGATTAGATGATTAGTCTACATTTTTTTTCTTGGATTCTTTTATCAGTGTTGCAGGTTTCAAATTAAGGGGAAAGATCGAAATACAAATACGAAACGCTTTTAAGCATGGCTTTTCTGATGAATTAAATATCGAATTTTTTCATTGGTCAATAATAAAAATCTATTTTAATACGACCAATGTACACGATGAATACACGTGGTACCTTTGCAATACACAACTGCAAATATTTATGAATGGAAGTGGTTTATTAAGTTAAAGGTTCAACTTAGAAAATACGGAAATAAATGCAAATAAATTAAAGGTTCAAATTGGAAAATACGGAAATGAATGCAATCAAGTTAAAGGTTCAAATTGGAAAATGTGTTTAACCAGAGACATATATATATACACACAGATTGACAACTGTAACAATGGTCAGCATAAGTCTCTGGTTTAACTTTGAGTTTTATTTCTATTTTTGTCACTTGTCAGTAGCCTATTCATTCTATATACAGTGTCTCATATAAAGTCAATTTGTTTGGCTGGGTGTTGATTATTTTAATTATTGCATATGTTTTAATAGTTATAATTTATTATTATAATTATATATAAACATGAATCGTTAAGTATGTCCCAGGTTATAAATAGGAGGGACTTAATTATAGGAATATTGATTGGTATGAACACACTTAACAGGCACCTGATATTTATTTTTGTAATAATATGATGACCATACTAGAATTTATTAAATGCATTTCTGGTGATATTACTATTTAATTTTAACCTGGCTTATATTTTTAATACCTATGTCTCTCATATATAAATATATATACTGTTCCCGGATTTACTCAATATATACGAGTACTAACAGGACACTATCCAATGTCTTTGTTGCATTTATTTGTAATGTAAAGGTCTCCCATTCAGATAGGCGTGCAGAGTAATAAAGTTGCAATCGATTTTGGTAAATTGCTAACAATAAACAAGGTATAATAAATAGTAAAAGCTACAGGCTCAGCCCTTTATTCGTGAAACGAACTAAATATTCGATCAGGACAGGAAATACCCGATCAATATATTTCAGGATAACATATTTATCTAAAATAATGTCCACCTTAATGTTTACCATCTTCATGGCAATTTTAGATATTTTATTTTGTTGATAAAATATATTTTGTTGGCCGGGAGCGCTTTTCCTTTTACAATCACCAGCAAACCACATTATTTAATAATCGAGGGGGTGGACAGGGGTACTGTAACGTACAGGAAAGTGAGAATGAGGGGTCGGGAAGAGAGTGTCGGATGGAGGAAAGCGGAAGTCAGAGGGTGTCAGATGGAGGTGCGGGCAGAGTTGGAATAAGAATAGTTTTTTTCTTTTCTCTCTCCTCTCCTTACTTTTCGGTAATTAAATCCAAATAATAAGTACGTATAATATACACTACATACGTAATAAATACGGTGTACAGAACATATATATAGAGATGAATTTGCAAAGACAACATTTCATATAAAATAGTTAAAGGTATGTTCCTACCACACAAAGAGCATTACAGTACAAGTAAATCAAATATGTTCCCAAACTCCATACACCACAATTATTCTCGGTGTGACACCAGGAAACTCCAATAATCCTCCCTAAATTCCCTCCGACTTCCGCTACTTTGTTTATTTCATTAGCGACATCTCTCCCAGCACAGTGTCACATCAGGTAATTAATTGCCCTAATCCTCTTGATCTATGCCAGCACGCGACAGTCAGGGTATTTGAAATTTCTTATGTAATTAAACAATTGTATTTCCTGTCTATTTATAATCAGGTTATATATCTAATTGCTTGACACAAATAAAAGATTTAAAAGCAAAATGTTGTTGTTAATTCCTTCAATTGCATTAAATAGATTTATAAAAAAAAAAAACTGTACTTGATTTTGACCTCGTTTTTTTTTTTCTCACCGGTAATATGATATTTTATTTACGAAAAGGGACATACTTGTGTAAAAATAATCGTAAACTACCACTTAATAAATGTGATCAGTTTAAAGAAAATTACGTGTCTCAATGTTTTGTATATGCAAATAAAAAATACCCAAATTATTCACCATTCACTATGTTTAAGTCTACGGCATTTTCTTATTACGATTTGTTGGCATTACTTTAGGATATTTAATACATTTCGGCTACAACAGGAATACTTCCGTACATGTAACTAAATCAACCTTGGTACACAAATACGTGGTCTACGCGTGACATATTTGTCATTCGATGGGTATACATTGAATGAATGAATGAGAATTAGGTCCGGGCGATCTTTTCTAATCAAATTAATAATTAAAATTTGCTCTTTCTTACGAGCAGGGGAACGTCATAACCTATGCAATATCGTGCTTTTAGGTTGCTGCATTAACTCGTCGCTGCATAAATAATATTAATTTACGCACAATGAATGTAATCTTTGTGTGTTGTATTTTGGACAATTTTAAAAAATTAATTTGCCGTGGGAAGACAATTCCACGATACACATCTCAGTGAATAACAGCATGTGGTTGAACTTGAACTTGAACTTGACTTCGCTCACTATATTGAATGCTAAAAATAGCCGACATCAATTTTGTCCACGGCACGAGATTTTTAATGGCGGGAAATTTCACGTAACATTAAACTCATGTGACCTTTTATGAACGACCGTGGGAAAAATCATTCAGGTTTTAAATTTGCTATGTAATGATGTACATTTTTGTGCCTTAATATTGAGGCTCTATCAGGTCCTTTTACAATTGATTTACCGGAATCTAAAATATAATCCTTTTCCAAATAAACGATGATACGTCTTCTTTAACTATTTTATTTTTTATCAGTCAAAACAGGACATAGTCCTGTTAGTTAGGGGACGATCATTTGATATTTTGGGGGGAGGGGCCAGGAGGATTTTGAAAAAAAAATAACTCAGCCTTGATAATAACAAAAGTAAATGGTTTGTTCTGGTGTAGTTTGAAAATAAATAACCTGACTTACGATGTATTGAAAATAAATAAGTCGGCAGGTCTTTTAAGCCATTTTATAATAAATGCTATTCTTAAGTATGAGATGGCACCAGATTCTCCCAAAATTCGTCTTTTTATGCCCCCGCCGTAGTGAAGGGGGCATTAAGTTTTACCCATGTCCGTCTGTACGTCCGTCCCAAAGTTGGTTTCCGTTCTCTAACTTTTAATAGTTTGCCTCAACCAAATGTTATGAAACTTATACACAATGCTTATTACCACTAAATACAGACCAAGTTTGAATTTTGGTGGCGTCACTTTTACTGTTCTAGAGTTATGCTCCTTTATAAATGGTAAAATTGCTAAATTTTTCGTTTCCGTTCTCTAACTTAAGTTTTCCTCAACCAAATGTAAGAAGACTTACACACAATGCTTATTACCACAAAACTCAGATCAAGTTCAAATTTGGATAGCGTCACTTTTACCGTTCTTCAGTTATTTCCCTTTATAACTATATGATATGCAAGCGGGGGCATCATCTGTGTCCACATGTGGACACAATCCACATTTTTTCATATTTTTTTCGGGAAAAACTTTCCAAATCTTTTAAGAATACAATGTATAAATATAAATGTATTTGAAATGTCTGAAAATGGGTTTCATTTAACTTGAGGTATATTGTCTCAGGAACATTTACCTCCCTTTTATTACAAGGCTGTAACTACATTATGGCAAACGCCTCATGTGGGAAGTTTCAAAAACAA